CCTCCAGCTGTGACTGCCCCACAAAGCCTGGTGTCATCAGCGAATTTACTGAGAGTGCACTCAATCCCAGTGCAATCATTCCAATCCCAATCATCTCAGGACGTAGCTCTTTATTTGGTTTGTTTCTGTAGCTCAACAGAACACAGCAACCTCGGCATTACAAGATTTTATCTCAGATCTCTTCCACAGGCTTGAGACCTTACAGAAATTATTGATTTATTCCAGAGGTCTTTTCACTTCTTATTCCATATACTTTATATTACACACATTGAGGCAAAGAACTCAAATGACTTGTCATCTATTTATATTGCTGAAAACAAATGCTCAAACATCATGCTCCTTGTCTTAAATATAGAGGAGTACCTGTAATGGCCTCCTGATGTACACTTCTGGATTCCTTTTATCATCTCCTGGTGGGTAATACGGAATTCAGTCCCTGGGTAAAGAAGAGTAGCCAGAACAGCAGCCTTGGAATGAGTATGGATCACTGCACCTGCACCTAAGAGCAGAATAAAAAGAAGAAAAAAACCCACTCTTTTTAGAATTAATTTTGAAATGTGTCTGTTAAGAAAATGTTACTCACATATTTGATTCACTTCTTTTGATTAGGCAAATCATGATCTACTGTATTAGAGGAAAAAATATACAGCAGCCTACATGAAGGTATGAGATAATTACTCCCCTATAAAGGATAATTGTGGATTGTCTTAGGACACTACTGTAAACTTAGAGTTAGTGACAAATTCCAGGAGAGAAACTACTTGCAAAAATTTCTGGAGAAATACCAGTTGTACATTTCTTTACATACTGCAATGACTGAAACCAGCAGGAGGACAAGAGGGCACAGACTCAAGCTCTGCCAGGAGAGGTTTAGGTCGGATATTAGGAAGAGATGTTTTACGGAGAGAGTGATCAGGCATTGGAATAGGCTGCCCAGGGAGGTGGTGGATTCACCATCCCTGAAGGTTTTCAAGATGAGAACAGATGTGGCACTTAGTGCCATGGTCTAGTAACCATGGTAGGGTTGGACTCGATGATCTTGGAGGTCCTTTCCAACCTGGTTGATTCTATGAGTCTATGAAACACTGTTAATTTTATCAGAGTTCTGAGATTTTAAAGAATTCCAAAACCTATTTGTGAGATGAAAGTTTGAAGACTTTTAGTTTCTTTTTATGTCTTCTTCAACTGTCCACTGATACTCTCAAAGAACATTTATCGTGACCTCACTGTGTCATGATGGAAGGACAGGAAGACAAGAATTATCATCTGCTTATTAAGTTGCAGCGTTGCCATTTCTCAGGTGCACATGTAACTTCCTTGTGCAGGAAGATCAGAAGAAACTCCCTAAATCCTTTCTCAAATAACAGATGTAAATCTTACCAACACCAAAATCTCTTTATTACTGTCCACCTGCAAAAGTTCAGTTCCTTTTTCACCTACTCAGAATTTACAACTGTTGATCATAGCCAGTGATTGCAAAAGGATCTAAACTATAGTTGCTGAATAGGCAAAACCACTGGTATAAAACTGCTGTACATCCCTCAGCTTCCCCCACAACTTACCAATACACTGCACTAAAAATTGGACACATGCCCTCACAAATCAATTTATTTTATAGTTTCATGTTAATTTCACTGTAACTTCTATGTATAAAGAATACAGTACTGAGTATTAGGTTTGTGGATGTGCATATAAAGTGTTTCCATCACTGCTGAACTAAAAACATTTGCTACACACCTCTCATAGTGTAGGCATTCATAAACAGAGGTGTGCACTGGCTTTTCCTTAGGTTCTTGTGCAGTGGAGGACCACTGATGTCCTTTTCATTCATGTCACAAACAAACATATCTTCTGGCTGTAAGAAAGAAGAAATTATGTCAACCCATGAAGACTCAAATAGTTCTGTTTACCTTCCAGAGGAACAAATCTATACTCCACATATTTAATATATATACCATGTAATTGATATTGAATGTGATTTTTGACTTTGTACAAGTGCTGTAACATACTCATTTATTCTGGTATCTAATACTGTTTACTGACATTGTCTAATGGGAATTAATACTAGGTACTCTTTTTATTCAGACTGCTGCCAAGCAGGTATCTGTAAGACTACAATCTCCTGGGAAAGGAGACAGACTGTGTGTAAATAGCAGAAAATAGATCCAAAGGAAAAGTAGTAACTGACTCAAAAAAAAGAAATGTAGACTTTTCCTTCCCCACGTAGAGAACTAAATATGGACAAGAGTTAAGCTTACAAATAATATATTTAACTTGTAGAACTGTTTCTTTTTATACCTTGCTTTAGTACCTTTACATGAATGTTACCTTTGAATCAGCTACTCATACTAGTACAAAGCATTGTTCAGGGCAGTAATAAAACTTTGCTTTTTAATGTTATTTTAAAAATCAGCAGAAAATAGAGTTGCCAGATATTTCCTCACTCACTGCACTCAATCCACTGCTACTGCTAGCACAGAACAGACCATCATGGGTATCCTACAGACCTTTGCCTGCCTTACTTATTCACATCCCCAGCAAGCACTGATGTGAAACCCCAAGTTTCTATCAGTGAAGAGATTCCTCTCACTCCTCATTGTATTTATCCTCAGATCTATGAAATGACAAATCCTTCAAGTGTATTACACTATTCTGGGGGAGTTCCTGCTGTCATAAAATAATTATAATTTACCATTCTCCTCTCCACTTATATTTTGGGTTGTTTTTGGAAAGGAGACAAGGTCACCTTTTCATGGGGAGAGCCCATCTATTTACTAAGAACATCAAGACAAACATCTGTAATCACTCAAATGGAAACAAACAGCGACAAGGTGCTAATGCTTATTTAAGTATATGCCACAGTAACTTGAAACCATACACAGACAACTACAGAGCCAATCAAGCTTGTAAAAGAATAAAGCTAGACTTGAGTAATGTAATCACAGTGTTTTGTGTTAATTTTAAGCAAAGAGATCATCAAGACTAATCTCAACTGACACATATTGGTTTGCTATGCTAGTGGAGTTCTGTAAGAAATCAGTGTTTCAATAACGTAGTACATAATGAAACTGGAAACAAAAGCACTTTCACCCATCTCAAGATGAGCTCTGAAGCACAAACATAGTGTAACTTACCTGTATTCTTTCCTTTTGGACTCCTGAAGGAGCGATGTAGATTTCATTCCTAAGAAAAGTTACAGAAGGGGAAAATGGATAAACACAGCTGAACAAAGACTTACACTGCACAGGGACTGGAGTTCTCCATCCACTGGAAAGGAAATAGCAAATCTAGCCCCTTGGAATTGAATAACTTTCTTGCTCCTTCCATGCATTGACAAGTAGATGGTTTTCAAAACAGAACTAAATTGTATGAGGGCATATAAACCTCTAACTTGCAGGGGCACAAACCCCTGCTTCCAACTTGACAAGAGATCTGAAGCACATGTAGGAAGTGTAGTTTTATTTTTCCTACAAAGAAAACCACACAGCCTCTCCCTGCAATAATTCAAACTCCCAGACTGCAGAATTAACATTAAAGGAGAAATTGCAAGCAGCTACTGATCTGTGACAAGGCAGGTAGGTGACAAAACTACTACTTAAAAATCCATAGGCTACGCATAAAGAGCACTAATTATCTGTAGCATTCTACAGTGTAAATCCTTTCTTTTTTAGCTATGCAGTTTAGGATTTTAGTGCAGTTATACAGTTATTTGTATTGATATAGATGTAACAGTAATTCAAAGCAAATAAATGACTGAAATTGAAGTAGAAATGCATAATTTCTTGCAAAGTTTACATGAACAGAAACTGTAAAAAGTGATTTAAATTAAAATTATTTCAAGATTGCACCTGAATTATTTTCATTATTAGCAAAAAAACCCCAACTAAATTCTCTCTCTTAGTTGCAATCACTATTTGGCTTCAGCACTCACAGACTAAATTCAGGAGCACAGAGACATCTAGTGAATAACTAGTCAAGGTACAAATACATGTTCTATGGACGATGAGATGTTTGTTTTTCTGGACAAGAGCAACAAAACTGGTGAAGGGACTCGAGGACAAGTCTTGTGAGGAGTGGCTGAGGGAACTGGAGGTGCTTAGCCTGGACAAAAGAAGGCTCAGGGGAGAACCTTATCACCCTACAACTACCTGAAAGGAGGTTGGAGTGAGGTGGAGGTCAGTTTCTTCTCCCAGGTTATAAATGACAGGATGAGAGGAAATGGCCTCAAGTTGCACCAGGGGAGGTTTAGATTGGACATAGGAAAAATTTCTTCACTAGAAGGTTCATAAGACATTGGAACAGGTTGCCCAGGGTAGCAGCTGGCTCACCATCTCTGGAGGTATTTAACAGAAGTTTAGTCATGGTGCTTAGGGATGTGGTTTAGTGGTGAACCTGGCAATGGTAAGTTTATGGTTGAACTTGAAAATCTTACGGGTCTTTACCAATCTAAACGATTCTATGACTTCAACTCTTCCAAAAATAACACTCTTCAGATGATACACAATTCATAGTGGTAAAATGTCAGTGAAGCACATCAAAATGTGGGTCTATATTTGCAATTTTTAACATTCATGAATCAACACTGCCAACAGTGCATTAATTCAGCATTAATTCCTTTGCATGAGCAAGATGACTGAGAGTGCAGCACATCAAGAAATCAAGTGGTAATTTGGTTACTAAATAAAGATGCAATTGGCCTTAAAACAGGTATTTTTCTCTTTCAGAAATAAACCACAAAGGGAAAATCTGCTGACAAAATACAGCCTTCAACATACAGGATACCTGACAAAGAATTCTAGATCCATTTCATAGAATCATAGAATCAAACTGGGTTGGAAGAGACCTCAAAGA